CTTCTCTTTCAATGCACTCTTAACAAACCTCTGTGTACTCTGCCCTGATTTATACTTAGGTAGGAATTTATGAGCTCTTACCTAGTTAGCTTGTTTTTTAGAAAGAATCCTACCTCTGCTGGACTTTGGTTTTCACCCATATTATCTTTTCACACTTCTACATGTCTATTAAACTTGCAAGATTGTGATTATCTCTCCTTGTGACAAGATGCCTAGGTCCTCTTATGGTGCTGAAAATGCACGGTGTATGTGCACACTTGAAGTTGTATATTTGTTTTCTTACTGATACTGTTTATTTCTCCTGAATGCTTTTAAGTCAGTTCATCCCTGTCTCATCACAGCCTTAATTCTGCTAAACTTACCCATATTTATTCATTGTTTGGTTTAGTTCATATGTAGTAGCAGTAGTAATTTTCAAGTAATTCCCTGTCTTTACTGCTAACTGAGAGCAGAGGTTTGGAGTTAGATATTTATTTATCTATGACTTTGCCAGCTTTATCCAATTGTGTTCATACTTCTCCAACACAATGTTAGTTGCAGTCAAGCTTTATAATTTAGTTTTCAGATTGAATTATAGGGAATGAATTTGCAAGGTGTTAGTCAAATGTAGGCATACAGTGTGCTTTGTATAGCATACTTCTGAGTAAAGAAAACGGTGTTAGCTTTTTTTATTAGTAAGCTGCCACCCACATCGATGATGCTATCACATCCTTTGAAAAAGTAATATGGCTTGTTCTTTGGAAAATAGGCACAAGAGTTTGCCCTTCCTGAACAGAGAGACTGTAGAAAAGTTAGACATAGTTTTTTCTTTAATAATGTTCTTAATATTTACTTTTGTAAGCCTCAAATTATTCCACTTATGTGGAGGTAATTAATAGTAGCTGACATGGGTTGGCTTTAGGGTTCTCACAGCCTGCATATGGGCTGTGAAACTGTGCAGATATGCCTTTGGTGGTTCATGTGTGAACTTTCCTCATCTTCTGATTAGTGTCTCCTGCCTAGCCCTCCCTACCACCGTCAGTTTTCAGTTTCAGTGTTGGATTGTATTCCTTAATAAAGCAGACATTCCAGCCAGGAATTAAGACAAAAGTTAAATACTACTCATTACAAGCCATGTAATACAGCAATTCGTTACTTATCTCTTACAGGTTCACCTGTATTCAGTGGTTTGTGTAATATCATAGAATGAATCCTTTTGGATAGGCAGTAAAATATTGCAACAGCAAAACTTAATGAGAACTAAGACAAGGAACTATTTCAAAATGTTTGGTTTAGAATGCCAATGGTATAATAAGTGCACCACATCTCGATTAAGCACTGCTTTAGAGAAGGACAATGTTAAAATTGAAGTATAACAAGAATAAACTGATATTTTTCAGAGCACATCTTACTGTCCAACTAAATATTCATTATGTTTGATAAAAAATATGCCCATTACAGAGAGGAAGTAATGTTAAAAGATGGGTTGTAAGTATCTCATGTCTTGAAAGTTATTTCTACTGTAAGTTATACTGTGATGGGAAAGATTAATATTGTTAAATCTTTGTTTATAGTGTCATAGAATGTCTGGGGTTGGAAGGGACATTTAAAGGCCATCTAGTCCAACTCCCCTGCAGTGAGCAGGGACACCTTCAACTAGATTGGTCAGATTGCTTAGAGACTCGTCCAGCCTGACCCTGAATGTTTCTAAGGATGGGGCTTCTACCACCTCTCTGGGCAACCTGTTCCTGTGTTTCACCACCCTCATTATTTTGGTGGTTTGTGGTTTTGTTTTTTTTTTCTTTAACAAAAAAAACTTCATCCTAATATCTAGTCTAAATCTCCCATCTTTTTAAAACCATTACCCTTCGTCCTGTCGCTACAGGCCCTATTAAAAAGTTTGGCCCCATCATTCTTACAGGCCCCCTTTAAGTACCAAAAGGCTGCAATAAGGTCTCCCTGCAGCCTTCTCTTCTCCAGGCCGAACCAGCCCAACTCTCTCAGCCTTTCTTCACAAGACATGTGCTCCAGCCCTCTGATCATCTTTGTGGCCCTCCTCTGGACCTGCTACAGCAGGTCCATGTCTTCCTTGTACGGAGGGCTCCAGAGCTGGACACAGCACTCCAGGTGGGGTCTCACCAGAGCAGAGTACAGGGGCAGAATCCCCTCCCGTGACCTGCTGGCCACACTTCTGATGCAGCCCAAGATATGGTTGGCTTTCTGGGCTGCCAGAGCACACTGCTGGCTCATGTCCAGCTTTTTTGTCCACCAGTACCTGCAAGTCCTCCTCCTCAGGGCTGCTCCCAGTGCCTTCATCCCCCAGCTTGTATTGATATTGGGGGTTGCCCCCACCCATGAGCAGGACCTTGCACTTGGCTTTGTTGAACTTCATGAGGTTCATATGGGCCCACCTCTCAAGCTTGTCCAGGTCCCTCTGGATGGCATCCCTTCCCTCAGGTGTGTCAACCACACCACTCAGCTTGGTGTCATTGGCAAACTTGCTGAGGGTGCACTCCATCTCGCTGTCTGTGTCACTGATGAAGATGTTAAACAGTGCTGGTCCCAGTAAGGAGCCCTGAGGGACACCACTTGTCACAGATCTCCATCTGGACATTGAGCCCTTGACCTCTACCCTGTGGATGTGACCATCCACCTCATCCACCAAACAGTCCACCCATCAAATCCGTATTTTGCCAGTTTAGAGAAAAGGGTATTGTGAGGGACTGTGTCAGAGGCCTTACAGAAGTCCAGATAGGTGACATCTGTGGCTCTTCCCTTGTGTACTGATGTGGTCACTCCATCACAGAAGGCCACTGGGTTGGTGAGGCAGGCCTTGCCCTTGGTGAAGCCATGCTGGCTGTCCCAAATCATCTCCCTGCCCTCCATGGGCCTCAGCATAGCTTCTAGGAGGATCTGCTCCGTGATCTTCCCAGGCACACAGGTGAGGCTGAGGTAGTTCCCAGTGGCTTCCTTTCTACCCTTTTTAAAAATAGGTGCAATGTTTCCCATTTTCCAGTCCCCAGGGACTTTACCTGACTGACTCTTCAGATACCATGGAGAGTGGCTTGGCAACTACATCAGCCAGTCAAGTTTTCTTTGCATATAAAAAATGTTTAAGGGAAGTGTATGTGTGGGGTGACATGTCTAAGGTAGTTTAATCCAGCCTTAGAGGTGTCCTCAAATCAAAGTCTCTTCTTCCTTCCTTCCTTTCCTTTCTCTTGTCTGTATGATGACATAGTTGAGAAAGCAGGAAGAACATCAAGCAAAAAGATGAAAGTTCTCCCTCTCCTTTATGTAGTTTTCTGTTGGCATTTGTCCCTCAGCCAGGTCAGCATAAATTCTGCCAAATGCTTGTTGTGTTGCTGTTTCTTTGAAGAGAAGTGGCAGGACTGTATGGCTAGAAGGACTGCCTCTTAGCTGTCCCAATAGATGGATTCAGGATGTGATTTAATACAGCAGCCTCATAGCTATTCGGGCAACATATTCCACCCCCCCCATTCTAATAAAACGCTGGCTGTACCCTATTGGGAAGGGCTGCTGTGAAGCACGGGCTGGTACTTGGGGAGATCAAGATCTAAGTATCGATTCCCTTTGCTCATCTACGTTGGTTTCTTTTAAGAAGTTTCCTTGTATAACTGCATCGACAAAGGCTTAATAGAGTATTCATGTTACATAATGTGGCTGTCTCTCAATTAGTCTGCAAAATGTGAGAGGCTTTCCTCTGGTAATTCCAGTTAAGGGGAGCTACAGTAGGGTTCTTGGGTAACTTGGCTGCTCTTTCACCTTGTGTCTGCAGATGGAGGAGGAGGACCTAAATGAAAGAGGATTGCCACAAATTGCTTCAATCATGAATAGGGTTAGAGACTTGAAAAACAAATACAGAAATGAAGACAATATCACAGATGAATTTAATTTTACTAAAATCTCAGCTGATACAACAGGTATGTGTGTTCGTTGCTCTGTTGTCCCTTAATGCAACTGATCTTGACCTAGACTGAGTGAAAGAGCCATTAACTAAAAGGATTTAAGGTTTAGCATATCTTCAGTAGTAATGACCACAAAGTACGTTTAATCTCTTGTTTCTTTAACTCTGTTGCTCTCATCTTGGGTGTGTTTTTTTTTTTTTAAATCACTAGTTGTCGTACATGAAAGCTTATAAAGTGATTTCTCTTGTTCATGTTTGCTGCAGTTTTAATCAATCTCCTTTTGTTGTTTTTCTGTCAGATAACTCTGGAACTGTTAATCAAATAATGATGACAACAAATAATCCAGAAGATTGGCTGTGTTTTTTGCTTAGGCTAGAGAAAAAGGGTGTTCCTCAGATGGATGTTGGCCTACTGAATAAACTCATTGGTCGTTACAGTCAAGCCGTGACTGCGTTACCTGCAGAAAAGCATAGCGAAGACGAGAGCTATGCTCGCATCCTTGTGAGATTTGCAGAGTTGAAAGCGTAAGTATAAGTTTTCAATGTAAGAACTCCAAAATTCAGAATTCTGAAATGGATTATGTTAAAAATAGTTTGTTTTCCTTAGTGGTTTCTGCAACAAATTATTTTGAGTGGTGATGCTTTCATATTGACTCCTTGCAGTTCTCCTTGCTATTTGATTGAAAGATATTAACACTTTTTTCTGGGTTCTATGTGTAAAGTGTATGGAAAAATAGCATGAGACCTTTTTTTTTTCTTTCCCCTTGAGCTCCCAAAACCAGCATGAGTAAAATCTGATATAACTTTGTGTACCTGTAATCTGTGTATTAAACTGTGTATGTTGTAAATTAGGATTAATTTCCCTGTAGACTTCTGAAACTCATTTAGCCGTGAGGTAGACAATTTGCTATTATCCAGTCAAACCATAGCAGTCTATCCTTGCCTGGTCTGCTTTCTCCCTTAGTAGGAAAGACTCATCCCAGCTACATTAAATAGCTGTCTGAGGGTAGGAAGAATGTCTCAATGTCATTCTGTAATTTCATACTTGTGCGATTAGTTTCGATTGTGGCCATTTATTGCTTTATTCAATTTTGAACAGTGTGGTGGTTCAGGCATCTTCAGACATAATTTGGGACAGGGTTATAATTTGATTTATCTTTTTATTTTTTTGTAAGGAGTTCTTATGTCACTAGAAATTCTATGGCAGCAAATATTTGGATGAAGAGCTGCATTTTAACACTGCGGCTATCCTTATCAATTAGAGGTGGTCTTCCAGTGAATATAGCTAGTCTTGTTCTGTTTCTTGTATGTCCTTCCATGTGGCTTTGACAGGTGGCTTGATCTTGCAGTGTGATATGGTCTACTTCTTTGTACTGCTGTTTGCAATACATATTTCTGCATCAGTGTTTACTGAGAGATGGCGTTCAAAGGTTATTAGCTTTTCCTCAGAACATAATTGGATGCTATTATCAAGTCATATCTGTGTCTCATACGTACAGTAGGAGTTTAAGTTGGGAAAGATTGCTTCCTACCTCCGTAATTACTTCAGAACTCTTGGATCTATTTCCACTTGGTCTTTAAAACATGATTTTAAAGGTGGATACTTTTTAAATGGACACTAGAATGGTGTTTAGTATTTTCTGTGTCGTATGGCAGAAAGCAAACCTGAAGGCACTGTCCATAGCCTATTGATACTGTAATGAATGAATATTAACAGTTTTAGTTGCAGTGTGCTACTGAAATGTGTTAGTTGCTTCACTGCTGCAGCCTTTGGGGACCTTCTCGGGGGAGCAGTGTATCTTGTTTCACTATTAAATGGCCCGTTCCATGGCTATACTAAAATAGCTTCTTTGGTAGCCGCCACTGCTGTAGAATCTACCCAGCTCACTGGGTAGTTCAGAACTGCTCTTCTGCTTCATATTTTTAATTGGCAAATTGAAAATTTTCAATTTTTTAAAAAATACTTTTTAATTAGCAAGTCAGGAAATATTTGAAAAGATGAACAACCCACTCCTAAACCCTGCTTAAAAAATGCGCTTAGTAAAATCTGACATAGTCAATTCCAGCAGAGCTCTACTGTCAGTATCTCTCCAAGTGATGGTCCCACATTTCATAGAATCACAGGATGGTTGGGGTTGGAAGGGACCTTAAAAACCATCTAGTTCCAACCCCCCTGCCATGGGCAGGGACACCTTGCACTAGACCAGGTTGCTCAAAGCCACATCCAGCCTGGCCTTGAACACTTTCAGGGATGGGGCATCCACAGCTTCTCTGGGCAACCTGTTCCAGTGCCTCACCACGCTCTCCATGAAGAACTTCTTCCTGATAACCAATCTAAATGGATGTAATTGGAAAATTACTTTCAGAGATTAGCTAGTTCTTAAACATTAACCACACCAGAATGTTGCTGTTTTTTAGATCTGATCAGTCAAAAGAAATTTCAATATTGCTTTTCTTTAGGCTTTAGAGATCAATGTTAAGTTAATCAATGAGTCCTTGTTTGGTTTTTGTGTTTTGGCACATTCGCTAATTGCTTGTAACTTTCTCTGTCTGGGCTGTCCCTCTGTTTCATACTCACTTTGTCTCGGGCTGTCTGTCTATGCTCTGCTCAGTTTTAGCTTCTGTTAATGAAAATTCATCTTAAGAATTCCTAGGGTGCTTTTTTTTTTTTAGCTGTTTCAATTTGCCAAATAAATGATATATAGGTGCTCTGATGCTGCCTTTGGTGGGGGAAGAAAGGTGCTTTTCAGTAGGTTTTGTGTGCTGTTCTCCCAGATGTTCCACGTAACAGGAAGAGCAAGTCAAAGCATCACAGACTTCAGAAGCAGTGACAGCAGCTTGAGATATCAGTGTCTATTGGCATCAATGCTGTTTTCATCTGATCAAAGCTGTGTTATTCCATTCTTGGCACTGGACCTGTATTGTCCTGGCATCTTCTCTAGCTACAGTCTGACTATACCAAAACCTTTTGACCTGTATTATGATACTGAGGTGGTTTGAAGAACCCTTGAGGGTACTCTGAAATGGGAAAAGGTGAATGGTCAGCTGCATCTGTGACTGTCTGTGTCACTAACCGTGCTAGGCCTCCTTTCATGTAACACTGCTGGCTGCAGCACAGTGCCACCAAGTGTGTGGTATGTGATGCCTTTTGCCAAATTCAGGTCTTGTTCTGCATATTGCCATCCAAGACGCTGATGCTTTCTACAGGAACTGTACTTTTCAAAAAGCACATGCAATTTTATGTAATTAATTCAGTTTAATTTCTGTTACTCTGACTTTGCCTGCAGTGGGTTATTTTGTGCCTGTCCTATTGCTTTGATCAGAGCTGAGTTTATTAAGCTTACTGGAGTCCAGCAACATGCCTGAACTTTGATAGACTTGTCTCCTTCTTAATTCCACAGAATTTCACTGGAAATGTTCTCTTCAGTTTTCTGTGTTGTATTTTTCTGTAGTTATGTTTTTTTTAAACCACTGTCATAAATTTTTATGATCCCCACTTCTGAGTACTACCCCTGCCTATCCATTGAACCAGGGTGGAATTTTGGAAGAAATCCCTTTCTCTTGGTAGTGGATTTTGCTAATTAGTGTTAAAAGAACTCTTTAAATATTTAAAAGGGGGAGGGAGTCCATTGAAACGTAATATTTAATTTATTTCATAGAGGTATAGATTTGGTCCTTTTCTATCTTGACAAGTTTACTTAAGCTATAGAGCCTCTAGAATATTAAGTGTTGGTGTGTTGTGTACAAGCATCTCTATTTTCCTACTTGGCAATCTGGCTGAATGTAAAACTAGGATTGAAATTCAGTGAAAGTAAAACTATTAAATGTGAAGTATTTTGTCTGTGCTCTGTGGTGCAGTCTCTAAATTTGAGGCATACAGTGTTTGCCATTGCTAGTTCCAGTGTGTCTGCAGAAAATTGACTTAAATGTGCCTTGTGCTACCAAATGTAACTAAGGCTGTTGTTTAGGAATATGGGGAAGATTGAATGAATTACCTATGTCTTGTAAGGAGTTGATATTCCTATAGAACCCTTGATAGAAGTAGCTTTTGAATAAATGCTCTTGTTTCTGAGTTTTCTATAGGCATGGTATTATAGATGTACGAACAGGAACAACTTCCTTCAGTGGCCTACATCTCTGCTAGGGGAATCTGAGCATCTGGGTGCCGTTGCAGAAGCTCTTCAGTGTAGAAAAGCTCATAAATTCTAGCAGAATTCTGGAGTTAGTATTGCTTTAATGTTATGGATTTGAAGCTTTGTGACCATATTGCTGCAGGATATAACTAGTAATGTGTATAATTTTTGTTCTGACTTGATTAATATGATACATTTTTCCACACTGTTTCTAAAGCCCTCTCCTCCTTGTCCTCCTACCTTGCAACCTGTGTAGTACAGGAGTGCATGCACCTAGAATAATGGAGATTTTTCTCTGGATAGTGTCAGCATGCAGCCCTGGAAGGGTTGCAGTTGGCTGTTCTGAGGGGAAGTATCTACATATTTGAGGAAATTAACATAAGCAGTGATGAAGGATGAGTCTTTAATCTTTTCTCTTCAGGTTTGAGCACATTCTGGGTTTCAGAAAGGTTCAGGTTGATATCTTTCAATTATTAGCTAATATTCTCTGCTTACTGGTATTTCACTGGTTCTAAGGATGAGGAATAACTTTAGCTATAGATGAACTGCTTTGCTTTTCTAGAATTATTGAAAGCCATCACCCAGCACATGGAACTTCATCCTTGTAACTCAGGCTCTTCACCTTGTGTAACTTGAATTTTGTCTTTACAGTCTTCAAGATCCAGAGGAGGCACGGGACCAATTTCATCTGGCGAGACTGAACTGCAAGAAATTTGCTTTTGTTCACGTGGCTTTTGCACAGTTTGAGCTATCACAAGGTGTGTAACAAAAACCAACAACCACAAAAACCCAAGAAAGCCCAAAACTTGCTTGGTATTGCTGTTAAGTGTTTTTCTGCTGTTACATAATTTGTGAGGAAACTGATCTGTGTTAAATCAGAAAAAAACTGGGTTTTCTTTTTAACTGAAATTTCATAAGAACATGTGAATTAATTCATTAATGAAAATATGCACACAGTTCTTAATAGCTTTTTCTTTTTTAGAAATAACTTTCAAACAAGATGAAAATTACCAGTGATTTCTGGTTTTTAAGCTCAGATCTTAGTGGGAGGTATAAGTAAAGCTTTTGCTGCGTTGAAAAATAATGCTCTAATTTGGGTGGTAGTTTTCTTTTCGATACTTTCAGCTTGCTTGTAGAAGTAGTTCTGGCTCCTTCCAAACAGTAACCGTAGGTTTTGTGTGTTTTTTCTTAATAAACCAAAATATGTTGTGAATGTGGAATTAGGTCCAATTAAATTTTTCACTCTGCCATTCAGGTAGTGTAGCTAGTAATTGGATTTTAAATGACTCTTCTGTTTCCTGTTGGACACTGTTGGTACAATGGAGATGGTTTGTCTTCTGTTGCTTCGTAAATGCTGTGGACTGAGGACTTTTCCAGTTCCTTCTCCAGGCTATTCTAGACTATACAAGCTATGCTTGTATATGCTTCTATATGTAGAACGATGTCTTCAGTACTTTGGGCCAGTATTCAACAAAGTTCACCTGAGCTTATGTTGTTTTTTTCCTGTTGTGGGTAGGGAAGGGGGTGCTGGTATTTGGTAGCAGGATTGTGCTACATACTCACAGGCTTTGGTTTTTGGCTGTCTTTTTTGTCTTTTTTTCAGTTGTCTTTCTATGGATGATTTGATCAGTGATCTATATCACCCCATTTATCTCCTCCCTTTAACAGCTTGCTCTACCCAGAAAGAGAAATATATTCTGTTAAAGTTGTTTACTTTGAAAGAAGCTGCTTTTGTGGGTGCATTTTGAGTGTTTTGTGATTTGTTTTTCTTTTTTTGTCAGTATCATGCAAGCTGTTTGTATGCTGTCCTGTATGAGAAATTCTCCCCAAAATTAACCAAGATCAAGGAGATTAAACTGTCTTTTCTACACTGGATTATGAATGCCTCTTATTAGATGTTTCTCTTTACATTTACTTTGGTTGTTTATAGATGAAACCACTGCCAGTGGATAAAGTTTGTATATGGTCAGATCTAAAGGAAAGTCCATAAAGGTGGTCTTCCCTTGTTGATACTACAGGAAAAAAAATGGGGTTTAGAATTTGTGCTGTATTCCCATACTGTTCCTATAACAATAAACAAATACTGCAAATGCACTTTTGTGCATTCATAAAACACATTTTGTGACTTGGCGTTCAACTTCATGTGAAATTGACTTAGGTGATTCACTTGTAACTAGTTCCAGGCAATATCCTTAAAGTGGTAAGGGGTAAGTGCCTAAAGAACAGTGGCTTCAGAGAATGATGCAACATGAGTATAAGACAGCATGACTGTAATCATGTCCTTTTTAAATTTTAAAGACCGCATTGAACCCAAAACAATTACACTATTGTTTATTTCCTTGATTTATAACTCTGTGTTGTTTACTACTTAGGAAATATGAAGAAGTGTAAGCAGCTCCTTCAGAAAGCTGTGGAGTGCTCTGCAGTTCCACTAGAAATGTTGGAAACTGCTCTACAAAATTTTCATTCACAGAAAAAGCAGTTGCTCTCAGATGAGGAGAAGGAAAACTTGGGAGGTAATTACAGTTTCTTAAAACGTTGGTTGTGTTTGTATGTGCTGTATTTCTAGACTGAAAGTTTTCCCTAATGGTTATCTATTAGACACTAGCAGACTGAGGTCATATCTAGAAGGGATGGTCATATTTGTCTGTATCAATCTTACTTCTTCAGTACTCTGTTCCGTCTTCGATGCAGTGATCGTAGTTTGCAGGAGCCATGGGACGGTAGATTCTCTAATTCTGCAGAGGGTGTTCTGACTGTCCTTAGGTATGTGTGCTCTGTAATAGGGACTTACAGCTGCAACTGTGGAGTAGGAGCTGGTGGTGGTAAAGAAGCAAAACTGAAACATACAGACTAAACTCTACAGATAAGTTACTATGAGGTGTATCTTGTGACGGGCTGGTTCTGGCAGTCATTTTAGTGATGTCAAATCTAGGAAAAATAATGTATTTCAACTTTATTTTACAAACGGACAACACCTCTGTATTTATCAGTGTAAAACTGAAGTGCTTGGCTATATCATAAAATGTAACTGATACAGATTGCTGGGTATATAACTTAATAAGGGAACAGTTATCAAATGAAGCTTTCAAGAGATAAATCTGGGTTGGAATTGAGCAAAAACCCCCATGCTTCAACTTAAATACCGAAGTGTATGTAACTCTTCCAAGTGTAGCGTCTTAACACTTTCATGGTTTTGCTTTGTATGAGGATGGAATTTGTGCAAAATAGGTCTGATTTAATTTCCTTAGGGATATGTCTTCAGGAATGTGGTTTGAGATTTGGCTTGCTCCTGTTGAGTCAACCTTTGTGTGAAACACTAGTGGGCAGGGAGGAAGGCAAACATTCGGCAACACTTGCAATAATATTCAGTTTTGGCATTCATTTTTTTAATAAACTCAATTTTTGGTCCTATTCTGTTTACCATTAATCATATAGACATCCTAAGTGACACAGCTGATCCTCTGTGCCACAGGAGAATACCCTTCAGGGAATGCACAGTTTCTATCTGATATTACTGACTTGCTGCACAGCTAAGGGAATACCTATGAGAGAATATGTGAAAGAAGCCAGTCTAACATCTAGGAAGCAGTGAATTGTGGGGGAGGAGTAGGCTAATCCAGCTTTTCATTTATATGAACTTGTAGCAGCATATATTTGAAAAATGCTAAGTATTAATTCTGCAATTTAAAGATAAATGTTTAAAAGGCAAGTAACACTAGACTTGAAATATCTCAAACTCAGGGATGTTTATGGACTAAATCACTGAACTTGATTTTAAGTGAATTTGTATGGTTCTCCTGGAACAACAGACTTCTAATGTTTAGGCACTGAAGTCTTGTCATTCAAATTTCCATTTAAAGAGCTGCTTTTGAAAGCTTTTTGTTTGAAAACAGGAATGCTGTGTATGTAAATGAATCTTCACAGCTTCAAAGGATTGTTCAGAAAGCTTTTGACTCCTTTGAAAGTTGTATGAAGTTTTAGTGAAGAGCTATATGAAGTTATAGTGCAGTGATACAAACAAGTCTACAAGCCTTTGGTTTAATTCCTTTTCCCCCTCTTTCATTCATGCACAGCAGTTTAAAGTATTTGACATACTATGTGCAATCAAACATGTTTAGTTGGGAGAAAAAAAGTCAGTGCTTAAAATATAGGTCATAGAATCATTTAGGTTGGAAAAGAGATTTAAGGTCCAGTCCAACCTTAGTCTTGAGTAGTATGTGAGGCAGATAGTCTGAGACAGCCTGTGAAGGAATAAAATTATTATGGATCACCAGCTGAATGTGAGAGTGTCATGGTAAGCTTGGGCAAAAAAATCTGTGTATATGGAAAAAGTGTGTGTGTGTGAGAGGTGGTTCTGGATTGAACTGCTAATTCAAAACTGTTCAGTGTTACGTAAGCAAACTTACAGCTAGATTGTACACTGAGGCACTTTTAACAGAGTATGATCTGTTGGCATAAGAATTTTATAAAAAATTATGGACTAGAAATAGCTAACACTGGTGTTCATCTGCCAGAAGTCTGGCTTTGCTGGCTGAAGGTAGAAAAGGGGACATTGGAGGAATCAAAATAAATTCATATCAGTTCATTAATTTTAATTTGTTTTAAAATGTTAAGAGAAATGGTATATTAAAGAAGTTCTTAAATTGTGACTTCTTGAGAGGCTGTGGATAGTCATGAATATTTCTGTTTGTTGGTCAAGCAAATAATTTCCTATACTGATGTAAAACAAGGCCTGTATGATGAGGAAGATCGTATTATATCTTAGTGGGTTTTTTAAATACATGTTCCTTGGTGCAGGATGGTCTTTCAGAAAGAGCTTAGTTGTTTATCTGAATAATCAAATATTAATTCCAACTTTAAAAAGGGTTTGTCAGGAAAATAGCTGAATTTAAGAGCTCAGTGTATATCTGAAGGTTCTGAAAATATCTCATACTCCACAATGTTCCCTAAGATACAAAAAGATACCTTAATTCGTTGTTTAACACATGAATACAAAGTGTTCATGGGCAAGTTACTTAAGTGTTGATTGGTCATTTACTCATCTCTGAAAAAAAACCCTTCTTTCCTTCTTCACCTCTAGACAAAAACAGGTTGGATGATGACCATGTTGTTCTGAGCTGTTTGTCTGTGGTTTTGAGGTTCTAGAATGACTTTGCAAAAAAACTTGATTTCTGGTTCTGCTTACTGTGAAGTACATCTGAAATATATACTTTATTTTTGACGTTCATTAATAATGTGACTAGCAGTGGACTTGACGTTTCATTTTAGGATTCATGTACAACTTCATATAACTTGCCAGATCTTCAATAGCCAAGCAAGATTCTCTACTGAATTAGGATGGGCCTGGTGAATGAGCTGTTTGCAGTTGCCTGCCTTGATCTTCCCTGAGCTGGTAGTAGAGCATGGCTTATAAGACCACTCTCAAATCTATCAGTGAAATCAACTGGTTTAATTTAACCCAGCTAACTGGGGTTTACTCTCCAAGTGCTGTGTTAGCAGGTCAGTGATGTGGAAGGTGGTTGTGGTTTAGAGGCTAGCAAAAGCCCTCTGGTAACAAGTCATTGAGCTACTACATTCTTCAACTGGTTAGTGGAGTTGGCTTTAGAAGGGAAAGTGCCTGTGGTTTGGAGGTGACCTCAGCCTGTAGAAGAGAATGCTCCAGGGAGACTTACATCACCTTCCAGTACCTGAAGGAGCCTACAAGGAAGCTGGGGGGGACTATTTACAAGGGTCTGTAGTGACAGGACAAGGGGTAACGGGTTTAAATGGAAAGTGGGGAGGTTTAGATTGGACATCAGGAAGAAGCTCTTCCCGGAGAGGGTGGTGAGGCACTGGAACAGGTTGCCTAGAGAGGCTGGGGATGCCCCATCCCTGGAAGTGTTCAAGGCCAGGCTGGATGAGGCTTTGAGCAACCTGGTCTAGTGGGAGGTGTCCCTGCCCATGGCAGGGGGGTTGGAACTAGATGGTCCTTAAGGTCCCTTCCAACCCAAACCATTTTATGATTCTGTGACTTTGAAATTTATTTCAGCCTAGGATTTGTCAGTATGAAAACCATGTTCAGGTACTGAATATGGGAAGCCTAGTAAGATTTTAATGACTAAAACTGTATTTCAAGTGCTTCTCTTTCTGAGAGAGAGAAGGAGAATTTGAGGGAGACAAGTGATTAATTGATGATTGGTAATTCTGATGTTCCAATTCCTGTGTCTCTGACAGAGTAGGTAGTTCTAGGGATTTGGTATGCAGCATTCTAGGAACTATTGTAAAACATAAAGGAGAAAGTGTGCCTGTGAAAGATTTACCTATTTAAATTGATTGCTACTTTCTTTCATAATTTTCACGAGAACTGAAAAGGCTGCAGGCTTTTGCAATTGCAGGCACCTGTTAAGCCAGATGGATATACAGAAAGATAACTGAGGTAGTACAAAAATGTTGTCTCAAAATTAAATACCACGTAAATGGTTAGACCCCAAAAGCAAGTGTTCGACAGGACAACAGGAGGGGTTAGGGATATTATCACTGTCTTGGGTCTCTACAGCAGCAGGGAGTTGGAAAGGATTGTCTAGACAGTTATCCCTTTGAGATGCTAACTCTCAAACAAGCTGGGTTTTGAAGCTAGATTTAGGATTTATCATACTTATTTAGGTGTGGGTGTCCTCATCACATGTGCTGATAAATGAACAACAAAGGAATCCAAATGTAAGCATTTTAAATCTCCTGACGAGTCCATGTGGAGCAAGCCTTGGAAGTGTCCTTTGGATTATGCTGTTTTGTAGTGGAGGTTTATTCTCAGAATGTAGATTTGGAAAATCTTGCCCTGAAAGTATGGTTTTCTTCCTCACTCTCCCAAAATGCTATTTAAACCAATGTCTTTGGTATTTGTATTCCTCCTGCATATTGGGTAAGATTAACACTGAGGTTTTTCAGTTAGAAGTTACGTTGCGTGGATGGTCTTTGGACATAGTGAATTCCTTTGTGTTTAAGTGTAGGTTAAACTACAGCTGTGTAGAAGACAAGTAGCTGATATATTTAACAATTGTTACAGGCCATTTTGTGCTTATTCTGGAAAGCTCCTTCTGCTTGTACGTCTGAGTTTTTTTTCTTTTTTCATCTGAATTATTATCCCTTGTATAATTATATAAAATATCTGCCTAGATGAGGAGAAAATAGTGAAAAATCTGATTGCTACTAGATTACTGCAAATGTATGTATTTTTAAATTGAACTGACTATGAAAGAATATTGATGTGTTTCAAATGGAAAAATCTGTAGTATTATCTGAAGAATTCTAATTTACCTACAGTATCAAGTAAAGAAGAGTCTGGACTTCAGAATATAGTTGGAAATCGCAGAAGCATGAAAAAGAATGATTCTGGTGAAAATTCTTCTACTATTACAAGACTTATGCTTGGGTAATGGCTTGATTTATTTATTTAATTTCTTAAAACATCGTTTAAACCAAAACCAAAGACACTACAGTGTTGTATTTGTGTTTTACTGTTTGTTTTTCTTGCCTTCAGGGAGGAGAAGTCACAGGAACTTGATGCTCTAGTTAATTACCACAATCCATTAAGACCACTAAACAAATCTAACCAGGTAAAACATGTAACATTTTGCTTCAAAATCTTAAGCTTTTTGTTCTCCTTTTACACATCTGGTAACTTTCAATTTGCTCTTAGGTCTGCCCCTTTGGGAGGGTCCCTGTTAAACTAGTAAGTGATGCTGGTGATGATGTGAAGATGACAGATGTCCCACTTACAGCTAGTACTATGAAAAGGTACGGCTATTGGGTTTACTACAGCACAACAGATTTTAATACTCCTTTTCAACGGTGTATTTATTGGATAGCCGAAATGTCAGATGTTAATTTTTAAAATTGATATCAAGATTTTTGGAAAACAGTCATAATTGCAATAGATATTGCAGTAACCTACTTTCTGTCTTACTACTCAGGTTCTTTCTGTGAGAGCATGCAAAGATCCATTTCTTGTTCTGGCTAATCAGTAGGCTCAAAACAAATGGATACCAAGGCAAAAAATAGATTTTGTTCAAAATAACTTCACGTTTGTGTATTCTAGTTTCTGAAATTAGATAAGGCAGTTTTGTAACTTTAAAAATAATTTTAAATCCTAATTTTTTAACAATCTATATAATAATGATTATATTATAAAAGTGGTTGTCCTCTTTTTACTGTGAATAACTGTTCAGCTCTGGAAGAATCTGTGACTAAAATAGCACTTTGCTATGTGTTACCTGACTGTAGCATAGCTTGAAAGAAAACAGGAGAAACTTTTCCTCCCTCCCCGATCAAGTCTGTTTAGCTAACTTTCTTCCTCTCTTGTTGCTGCGTGATTAAATTCATGCAGAACTGGCAACTCTGGGGAGAAATATGTAACTAAGGAGTAAAACTGGCATACTTATCCTTGCAGAAGTTAAAGCCCAGTATTCTGAACCTGTGAAAGTAGTGGGATAAGGTATTTCACATAATAGTTTTGTTCTGTAAATATTTCAGAATTTGTTTTGGAACATACCATTGGGGTTTAGGATCCTGGTTGTAGCTTATTACCCTTTTTTAAGGAAGACGATTAAGTCATCTGTCATTTAACAAGATGATGGTGGCATTATTACAGATCTCTTGGTACTGTTTCTCGCTTAGCTGTCAAGAGTGGACCTGCTTTTCTGTATGTTCGAAACTTGTAGCAGTCATCATATTCTATGTCTGCATATGATGTAATTAACGATGTTATTTCGATAGGCAAATATCCAGCTCCAAATGTACAACCTTCACTGCACCTTTTCCACCATCAGAAAAAAAATCTAGTGGGAGTGATACAAACGACCTGGGAGACTTGCAGGTAACTTAAGCATTTTAAAAATAAATATAAGGAACTCTAACCTGGCTGTCCTATGGTGTTGGAAAGAATTAATGCTGGTTTTAGTTCAAGAAAGAAATAAGGCAGAATTTTCCTTTATGTTAAGTAATCAGTTGTAAATAGAAATATTCATTGTGGCAGTGAAATCTGAAAGTTGTTATGCATAATCAGGCATTAAGTGAGCTTTCTCTGAACAATACATCTGAGGGGAGAGATGGGGGGGTGTTAAAAATCTCTTCAATTTATGAAGAGAAGATAAACAGACTTCATCTTGACTACAGGAGGTCTTTCAGCTGTAGTTGTGAGTTTTGTCATGGGAAGTACTCCATTCAATGAAGTCTCTTTAAGTTCATTAACTGCTCTGTGGAGCTGTAAATTATGGCTTTTGACAGAGATCAATTTTGAGCTATGCTTTGCATGTTCACATCCTGTGTCCCCATCCCCTGAAAGAAAATTCAAGAATAGAAAGTGTTTAGGCCTTTGTTATAGGAACTGCATGACTGGAAATGCAGAGTGGTGATGGATTTTAAAATGGTATCAGTAGCACTTGTCTGTGTACCCTGCTTTGTTTTCTGAAGCATATTTGCTTTGTGGTGCATCAGCCATTAATTATCATAAGGAATAGTCTTGGACACTATGTTTGGGATCTCCTTTGATTTTTTTTAAGATGCTTTTTGTTCTCTTTAGTCCTTACAAGAAAAATTTCCTTACAATTGCAGGTGTTGGATGATAACAGCTTAGAAATGGCTGCCAATTCAACTGTAACTCTCAAAACCAAAAAGGATACAAGTCTTGTGATGAAAAGAGAAGGTAACTACTAAGATGTGATATTTTAGTAGCTTGAAATAGAATAAGCATTGACAATTCCCTGTTCTGTATTTGAAAAAAACATGCATTGCTAAACAAAATATTCTTCAAAAAGTGAAGCAGTTGGTCTGCTTGGAGTTGTTGAGCATTTAATTAAAATTTCTTTTGAGTGGTACCTGTGAAAACAGTACCTAAATAAATAAATAAAAAAACAAACAAAAAACCCACACCCTACAAAAGACCTTACTGCAACACTGAGCAAAAGTGTAGAGTGCTGGGCTTGACGTAAAATGCCACTGTATACTGGTAATGCATTATGTCCTTAGCTCTCACAGTGCACATAAATAGGCATCAAAACAGCAATGCCGAATGGTTTCTGATTAAGGTTTGCCAGCCTGAGTGTAGAAAAATGTTGCTGGGGTATGAGATAACAGTGGTAGTATATTAAAAAAAAAAACCCAACAACAAAAACAAAACTCAACCCTAGATGTTGACTGAGAGAGATTCAAACTAAGGATTGTCGAAAGGCAAATTATTTGCCCCCTTTTTTTCTGATATCCTGCAAAAAACTCCTGAATTATTTTCACAGTTCTTTCCGTGTTCTCAATGTAATCCAGTTTATGAACTTGTACTGCAGGGATCCCTTGTTCACGTAAATGATGCCTGTTCTAAATGAATGTGTATTTTTGAGAGGCTTGTTAAATTGCTGTGCCAGTCAAATGCACCATTATGTTTTAGATTGCTGTAAATGCTCCTGCTTTAAATGATGGGGTGTTTCAGCCTTAACTGTTGCTCCTCATGCTCCTCGATTACCTATAAAGATAGCAGATGATGATGCTTCTGTCTAACTTGAGAAATTTTGGTTTTGAAAGAAATCAAAATGTTGCTATCATGTCAGTGGCTGAGAGTCTTAATCATTCCCCAAAAGTATGTTAATAATGCAGTAACTTATTTTAGACAGAGACATTCCTGGGGTATTCCAGAAATGATATAAGCTCTACTGAAGTGTTCAATGTATGGAGTTTGACTTGTGTGTGAAATCACCTCATGACATTAGAAACAGGGGTGGTGTGAGGCCACCTTACGCTGTGGTCTTTCTGGGAAATGTTATAAACAACTCTGGTTTGTAGGAAGTATTTCTTGGGCTGGTAAAATTCAGAAGGTTGTTACTACTGACTTAGCACCAACACCGTGGACTATGGAATAAATGTACTAATCTTCTATAGTTACATTTCTGATGAAACAGAAGTGGCAAGTAGTTCCCCAGACAGCTTTGATTTCTGATACTGGGGAAGACATTAGAGAAAAATGTCTAATAATATTGCAAGGGTTGAATTTAGAATTATATACATCCCTGCTGTAGGAAGGAAAAATGTTTAATTTGGAAAATGCTGGTGTTTTGGTTTTTTTTTTTCCAACTTCAGTGTCCCTTAGCTCCACACCCCCAACCCCTCAGTGAAACCTTTTCCATTGGTCTTGCACTGGGAACAGTTTGAGTTTCAGGTCACACTTTCTCTCTGCTTCATTCAACCTTCCAGATGAGCTGGTGGTTGTAGCAGCTGAGTCGCACTCAACTTCTGCTTGCCATGGGCTAATGTTTTCTAGTCATTTGAAAAGAAAACTGAACGAGCACGTGAAGGAACACTCAGCTGTGCTATTTGCATCCTGCCCTGCAATCTTCCACCAGTTCAATGTCCTAGTGCTTCTGCACAAGGAACTGGGAGATGGAGCATGTGGCTTCAGTCATTATGCTGGATTATAGGTTGTCTATTGTCACAGAAAACAGACTTGTAATTTGAAATATTGCAATAAACTTATTGCAAGTGCTTTATAAACCTGCTCAGTGTCCCACTATGTGGTAGTACAAATGATGAACATACTGTTTGGTGTGTTGGTGAAGGAAATAGTTGTATCTCTGTTACTGTTGTAGTAGTATCCTAAGATATTGAGGAAAGTTGCCATGTTGCTACATGGAACTAGATATGAATCCTAAAGATTACATTACATTAATGCTTTTTAATGCCTGATTCCACTAAGTCAACTGTGTTCATTTATTCTGATACAGAAAATGGGGTAAAATCCTTCTAGAAACTGTGGAATAAATCTATTAAGCTGTTTCAAGTACTAAATAAGTTTTTTTAATAATCTGATTTTTTTTTTTTCTAGATAATAAGGTCCAGCATCAGGAGCTGAAGATGCCAGAGCCAAGGAGTCTGGAAAGTCAACAGCAACAATCTAGTTCTAGTGAAAGCTACAGAAAGCAGTTAGATCAGATTAAACTAAACTGTTTTAAGGACAGAAAAAAATGGCCAGTTCAGGAAGTGACACAGAAAACCTGCCATAGAGAGGTATCTGTAGTGGTTTTTCAGCTGTTGCAGCTTTTACATATTGATGAAGTAACTTCTGTGTTCTTAATTGTGGCTCCTTGTGTGAAATATCTTGTTTTGCTCTCCGTAGACAAAACGAATGAGCCTTGAACAATCTGGTCATCCTATTTCAAGAGGATTGTCGCCCCCAGATGCTGGTTGTAAGAAAAGTGATCCATCGCATGTTTGCGGAACACCAAGTACCACATGTGGCGACTATATGGACTGGTAAGCCACTTCTTCATGCTGCACACTCAGGAATGGTAGTTGGTATCTGGAAAGACATGAGCAGTTCTGAAGTTTTTCTGTTTAGATGGCAAACAAGACTTCTGAATGCTCCTGACACTTGATGTCAAGTGCCCGACTTGAAGATTCGGATTGCATTTAGGGAACTCTGTCTTCCCTGTCAGCTTTTCAGCATTTGGAAGTACACTTATCAAATCAATAAGTTTTTATTTTACAAGTATTTACTTCTTTCACTGATCCCTGCGACACAAGACTCAGCTGCCTTGTTTTTTGTGGCTGATAGGCTTTCTTAGATTGATAACTGTATATCAGTCTGGTTCTCGTGATGGAAGTGTCTGTGGGTTTTAAAAAACAAAAGAAGCATAAGGAATCTAGAGGCTTGCAGAATCAAGCACTAAAGTTAGAAAATTCTAGCATTTGTTTATCCATGCAATCTTAAATCAGGCATAAACCTCTGTGCATATGTTGACAAACCTTTCTATTTATATGATTACTAACTAGTTTCCTAAGTCTGTAGGATGAATCCTATAGGCCAAGGCTCTGTGAGTAAGTGCTGTTCATGCTGGTAGGACCTGAAAGGCTGAGAGAATTGGGCTTGGAGAAGAGAAGGCTCCGGGGGCACCTTATTGCAGCCTTCCAGTACCTGAAGGGGCCTACAGGGAAGCGGGGAGGGGCTTTTTACATGGGCCTGTAGTGACAGGACAAGGGGTAATGGGTTTAAATTGAAAGTGGGGAGGTTTAGATTAGATATCAGGAAGAAGCTCTTCCCGGAGAAGGTGGTGAGGCACTAGCACAGGTTGCCCAGAGAAGCTGTGGATGCCCCGTCCCTGGAAATGTTCAAGGCCAGGCTGGATGTGGCTTTGAGCAACCTGGCCTAGTGGAAGGTGTCCCTGCCCATGGCAGGGGGGTTGGAACTAGATGGTCTTTAAGGTCCCTTCCAACCTAAACCGTTCTATGATCATGTGACCTCTCTCTGTAGAATTTAGACTATATGTAGTGAATGAAGCATGTCATTTAATAATGGAACTTGATGAAAGTGCCTTTGAAGAGATTCTGGTTTTGTTTTTCAAACTTTGATAATAGAGACTTCTCATTACACACTGTACATAGCACACTGTAAATACACAGGATTGTTGACTGCCTTTGTTTTCTGTGAGAACCATGGTTTTGACTTTTTTCAAACTCTACACAAAAAGTCCTAGGTGTATAAATTCTTTTCCAGTTCTGATCTTAGCATCAGTTTCTGTAAATATTGGGGGGGGAAGTGTATTTGGTATTATAAATAAATATGGTAGATACATCAAGGGAACAAATAAAAACACACAGGGTTTTTTGCCATCTTTAGTTTTATTCAACACATGATCTTTTAGTTCAGTATAGCTAAAGCTCTCAAGGAAAAAAAATCCACCACCAAAAAAAGATTGTGTTGAAGTTGTTTGTCTCCATATACTCAAAGTCTCCTTTAGATAAAAAGGTTTTGAATAAAGAATCATAAGCTAAAGAAAACATAACTGTGGCCCAGACTGTTTTGCTGTCCTATGGTCAGTGCTTCTAGTTATATACTGCTTTCATTTTCCTGTTTGTGGGGAGTGCCAGCCAGGATCTGAAGATGGAGATTTAACTACTTAAAACTTGAAGAAATATTTCATAAGTATGTTATACTTTAAGTGGTACTTCTAAAGGACTTCTTAGAAGGTGAAGTGGTCTTAATGCTAATTATTGAAGATATCAGAAATTCAGACTTTTGCTAGTTAATAGTCGTAACTTTCAAGATGTACTGAAGAGTTCAACTTTGTTGTTAGAATAATCGTAAATACAAGGAAATGCAGATATTGTTATAATTTCCTTTTAGTTTCAGAACGCCAGTTGTCAAGAATAACTTTCTACCAGGAAGTCAAATTTCTACTCCCTACAGCCAGCTCCCATATTTCCTACCACATACTCCAGCAACTCCATTTCAAAATCAAGTTGGCTTGCAGGTAACAATTTTAGGCTGTCTTATGCTGTGTTTTAGTGCATATTTTCATCAGAGACTACTCTAGATTAAATGTATGCGTGCATGTATATGGGTTTTTTAATGTAAAGTTGCTGTTCATCTTTCTGGATGAGTAATGGAAAGTGTTCTGTATTGCTTATCTCAAAATAACGTTCTTCATATGTATGTGTGAATTTAGGTAAAGTCAGCTATTGAAAAGTCCTTTCAGTTGTGTCAAAATTCTGCAGCCTCTCTCTGAAATCTAAGCTTTTTTGGATCCTACTTTATGACAGAGGCAAGAACTACAGTCACTGTTTTTGTTCTGCTCTGCTTTTATACTGATTCTACCAGCTACAGTGGAGTACCTAGAAAGAGAAGCAGTGTGTGTTAAAAACCATAAGAGTGAGGGAGGTAAAAGAACAAAGAATTACATTCCTTCTCTGTTTTGTTAGATTTCACAAATTTTGATGCATTCATAGTGGCTTGAAGTAATGTAAAAATGGATTACATTAGACAAGTTGCTGCATTCAGGTAGGAATCTTCCCAGTTGTAGACAGAATTGGGAGATAGGTTTAAGCTTCCTACCAAATGATTAACATGTAAAATCTGTGGTTGTTCTGCAGCCTGGTGTAGCAGGTATGGGCAATACAGCTTCACAGCACTGAAGCCTGCTAGCTGGTAGTTAGCTTCAAATAAAATAATAGGGGCTTGGAGTACAGCTCCAAGTACTGTGAGTGAAAGTCTCTGGGATAGTCTAGTTTCCAACATTATCTGTAAATAATGTAAATAATTATCTGTAAAGAGGGAGGTGTATCTAATGATCTGAGAAGTCTTATTAAAGAACATCCTTTGTTGAATATCATCAGTGTAAAAGAGCACTGGTATCTTTTTGTAAGAGTTCAGTGGTGTAACATGCCAAGTGATGATCATTATACAAGTGTTTTCACTATGGGGATCTTTTAGCTTTCGAGAAAAAGATATTTAAAGTTTAGCTTTACTACACTTTGACTTCTTCAGAAAGACCAAGACAACTTAAAGCTTATTAACTTAATGTGGTAGAGCTGTACTTTTTATTCTGCATGTATGCTAATAGTAATTTGTCTTATTTGTCTGTATGTACACAGGTTTCAGCTTCTATACCTTCACATGAATGTCTTGCCATCAAAGGAAGAGTTTATACAGTATTAAAGCAAATAGGTAGTGGAGGCTCAAGTAAGGTAAGATACCCTTTTTGTCCTTCTACAGTCACTCATTTACACAGTAGTAGTTGTAGTGTGAACATACACATTGAAGTCCTCTAAGGAGTGCCTAGCACTAACACGTAAAAAGTGTTTGACCCAGAAGATCTAGAAGTTTGTTGTTTTAATGCTGTGCTTAAACTTTATCCCTTGTGGATGCAGAAGAAACAGTGCACAGATTAGATCTGGTACAATGCTGGTTTATCAGCATATAGCCGGCAATAACTGTATCTTATGAAAATGATTCTTCAATTATTACAGGGTGTTAAGCAGAGTGCTGTTCTCTTTAGTGGAGAAGTAAAGTAAAAACAGTGGGTAGATAGAGAGGGGGATGAAGTAAAGAATAAACAACAAAATTCTAAACAGATGCAGTCAGAGCACTGAAGAGAAGTCACAAATAGAAAAGAAGTGATCACAATTCTCAGGAGCATCTAAAAGTATCACTTAAACCAGTAAACAGTGGTGGCAGCCCATTTCCTTTTAGTCTTTGCATGAAGGCCTGAAGGTAGATTGTATATGTTCTTGAAGATACTCCACCCACAGAATCTATTAAAATTCCCAATAAAGTCAGCTCTTCTAAGAGTTGTGGTGCAGTATTACTATACGTCTTAATTTGAGAGGCTGTTTAGAGTAGTGTGATTACATTGTTGGGAAATATGTGGCTTGTAAGGTTGATTGAAAGGAGGATCTGTTCCATGATCTCCCCAGGCACAGAGGTGAGGCTGCAGTAGTTCCCGGGGTTCTCCTTTCTACCCTTTTTAAACATGGGTGCAATGTTTCCCTTCTTCTAGTGCCCAGGGCTTCACTTGAGTGCCATAACTCTTCAAATACCATGGGGAGTGGCTTTGCAACTACATCAGCCAATTCCCTCAGGATTCTGGGATGCACCTCATCAGGTCCCTTAGATGTGTATGCGCAGGTTCCTGAAGTGGTTGCAAACCTGATCTTCTCTTAGAGTGGGAGGCACTTTGCTCATCTGCTCCCTGCCTTGTGGTCCGTCCTCTCACGAGGTGTGGGAAGAGAGGTTGCCACTGGAGGCTGAGGCAGAGAAGTTAAGATTTTACATGATTCTGTTAATGCAGAGAGTAAGAAATTGAAAAGAGCAACAGAGTAAGAATAGAGTATTTCAGTTGGAAGGGGATCCTACAACGATCATCCAGTCCAACTGCCCAACCACTTAAGGGTGACAAAAGTTAAAGCATGTTAAGGACGTTGTCCAAATGTCTTTTAAACACTGATAGGCCTTGACCCCCTCTCCAGTAAGCTTGTTCCAGTGTTTGGCCACCCTCTCTGTAAAGAAATGATGCCTAATGTCCAGTCTAAACCTCCCCTAATGCAGCTTTGAACCATTCCCACGCATCCTGTCACTGGATACCAAGAAGGAAGAGCTCAGCATCTCCCTCTCCACTTCCTCTTCTCAGGAATCTGTAGTGAGCAACGAGGTTGCCCCTCAGCCTCCTTTTCTCCAAACCTGACAAGCCCAAAGTCCTCAGCCACTCCTCGTAGGACATCCCTTCCAGCCCTGACATCAGCTTTGTTGCCCTTTTCCGGATGCGTGCAAGGACCTCCACATCCTTCTTAAATTGTGGGGCCAAGAATTGCACAGAACTCCAGGTGAGGCCACAGCAATGCTGAATACAGCAGGATAATCTCCCCTTTTCACCAACTGGTTGAACTGTGTTTGACACACTCCAGGATGCGGTTTCCCCTCTTGGCTGCCACGGCACGCTGCTGATCCACAGTGAGCCTGCTGCTGAGCAGCAACCCCAGATCCCTTTCTGCAGGGCTGCTCTCCAGCCACTCTTCTCCCAGTTTTACACCTGTGCCTGGTATTACTCCATTCCATGTGCCGAATCCAGCATTTGAACTGGTTAAATTTCATCCCATTAATCCTTGCCCAGTACTCCAATCTATCTACATCCCTCTGCAAGGCCACCTGTTCCTCAGCAGCACACCCCAGTTTGGTATCATCAGCAAACTTGCGTATGGTGCATTGGACTCCTGCATCCAGATCATTGATAGCTATATTGAACAGGACTTGCTCTGGGATTGATCCCTGAGGAACACTGCTGGTGATTAGCCAACAGACAGGCAGAATCCCATTCACTATAACCCTTTGAGCTCTGCCATTCAGCCAGTTCTTCACCCAGGACACTGTGAACCCACTCATTCAAGGGTTGAACAGCATTTCTGGAAGGATGCTGTGAGGGACAGGTTCAGAAGCCTTACTAAAATTCAGAAAAATTGCATCCACTGCATTCCCTTAAGACACTGGCTGAGAGAACTTATGGAAGGATATCAAATTGGTTCAATGGGATTTTCCTCTGGTGAACCAATGTTGACTGTGCCTGATAAACACCTTGTCCTTTAAATGCCTTACAACAGTAGCCAGTATGATCTTCTCTGTGAGTTTTCCAGGAACTAAGGGTTAGACTGTAGTTCCCTGGGTCTTCCCTCATGTCCTTCTTATAGATTGGAATAATACTGGCTAGCTTCTGGTCAGCAGGGACCTCCTGGAAGAAAAGCTTCCTGTGTTGGATAGCGTACACTCATAGAATGAGGTAGGATGGAAGGGGCCTCTTCTGCATGTCACTTGGTCCAGTGGTCTGCTTAAAGCAAGGCCAGAGTAGAGCAGGTTGCTCACTGTCTCCTGCAGGTCTCGAGGTGTCTTCTTCATACCTTCCCTTTAAATAGCTGAAGGCAGCAGTAAGATTCCCTGTACCCTTCTCATCTTAAGACTGAACAGACTCAGTGCTCTCAGCCTCTTCTCATGTGCCATGTGGTCTAACCTCCAGATCATCTCGGTGTGGTGAAGTAGATGAGCAGTGGCAGGTCAAACCCCTATATCTGTGGGAGGAGTTATGTTGCATTCTTTATCTTAGAAACGCTTCAGACTTAGGATCAAATGCACCTAGTGAAAAATAATGTGGTACCGAGATGGTTTCTGATGAAGGGCTGTTTCCACTGTAATAGGTGTCTCTTTCTTAATTTTTCTTCATGCTGACTTGTATGAACTTCTTTGTAAATTTAGCGTTGCTTCTTCCTTTTAAAATACACTTTTTTCTTATGAAATTCTGGCTGTGGTGGAACAAAGGACCATAGCAAATCAGAAGTTATTAACTGATACTGTTTTGCAGGTGTTTCAAGTACTGAATGAAAAGAAGCAGCTGTATGCTGTCAAATATGTGAACCTAGAGGAAGCTGATCAACAGACTGTTGAGAGCTATAAGAATGAAATTGCTCTCCTGAGTAAATTGCAGCAACATAGTGATAAGATCATCCGCCTTTATGGCTAGTGAGTAAACACTGATTTTACTAAACCATTACCTTTGTATCAAAAAGAAGTTGCCTTAAAATTTAACATAAGTGCCTTTATTTATTTTTAGTGAAATTACTGATCATCATATCTACATGATAATGGAGTGTGGAAATATTGATCTCAATACCTGGCTCAAAAAGAAAAAAAACATTGATCCATTGGAACGAAAGAGCTATTGGAAAAATATGCTGGAAGCTGTTCACACAATCCATGAATATGGTATTCTTAAATAATTCTAGGTATTTCTGTAGGTTATATGACAGAGATAATACAAGTGTGTTTAAGTTTTGGAGATGGTATTGCTCTTAGTTTTGCTATAAGCCTAGTGATCTTCCAAGATGGGTATTTTACTGTATTGTGCAAGAGAATTTCACTGAAACTAAAGAAGGGTAAATCTTGATGCAGAGGTAGACTTATTTTGCTAATTAAAAGAAATTTCTAAGTATCCCTGTTGTATAATCCTTCCTATTTTCTTATTCTCAACATCCAGAAAACTTTGCTGTATTGGACTACATAGTACATTCCCAGTACTGCTTGTTCCCCATTAGACTCAAATTTCAACCACTCATCCTCTCCAAAGAAGTTTTGACATTAATGACAGCTTTTACACAACTTTCTTACTTTGACATACTGTTTCAGCGCTTTTTTTTTTATAGTTCTTCAGGCCTTCCTTTCATCTTTACCTATATAATTGAAGTACATGCATCTGTATTCTGTTGGGCTGCATAACATCAAGGAGAGAGCAGATATGGGTCCTTTTCCTGTTTAAGGAAAAAAAAGTGGAGGGCTGTACATGCAGCAGTGAGCATCACCTCTTCACAGCACAAGAACACTATAACATTTAATAATATAGGACAGCAAAACGTACTAAACCAAAGGCTCCGTACTATGTGATGTGTCCTTGAAACAAACAATTCTGAAAAATATAAAGATGGATTGGTTGATTTATATGGATAACCAAAATTCCTAATAAATCATGTAAGTAGGGTTCATGAGGGGTCAGTTATATGTAATCCTCAGTGAATGCTACCTTGGAGATCAGGAAGCAGAAGACATCAGACTAAGCAGTATAATTTTTAAGTACCTGTTTAGCTAATTATTGAAGAGGAAGCTTCAGGCTTGGCCAGGCCATTGGACTGATCCAGAACAGCAGTTCAGACTGGCAGTGTGCACAAAGAGCTAGAGGGCCTATCCCTAATGGAGAGAAACTATGCAACTCAAGTCTCCTGGAGCTATTTTGGGGTGCTTGCAGATTTGAACAAATTATAATTCAAACTATAAACTCCTATGAGTCTTGACTGTTTAAAAAGAAAAGAAAACACTTATGAAATCTGAAAAGAAGAATTCTATTTTGACCAGGTGAAGCTGATCTGCACCTTCTCTCTGTGCAAGGGTTATGGGAATTGAGCAATAAAAAAAACCCTATAACAGTAACTTAGTTTGACTGAACCTGGATTGACTTGACACTCTGTTTTACAGGCATTATTCACAGTGATCTGAAACCAGCAAACTTTTTGATAGTTGATGGAATGTTAAAACTAATTGACTTTGGCATTGCAAACCAAATGCAGCCAGATGTGACGAGCATCATTAAGGATTCTCAGGTGAAATGCTTCTGGAGAATTGATGTACACTCTTCTGTGAAGTGCTATAGTGCTTGCTGATTATGTTGATTAATGCAGTGACTTCAAAAAAATCTGCAACTTTACGCTGAATGGTTTTATTTTTATATAAATAGTCATATGTATGAATTTTTAGAGGTTTTTATTGAATGGAATTAACCGTGGCCTTCAGCCTTAATAGAAACAAATTTTCAACATGTTTTCCAGTGCTGTAAGGCAAAAATCTAACTTTTTATTGAGTGAATTAAACTAAGTGCATGCTTCACTTAAAGGAATATTTTTTCCATTTTTATGGCTAGGTTGGCACAATGAATTATATGCCACCCGAAGCAATAAAAGATATGTCTTCCTATGGAGAAAATGGGAAATCTCGATCTAAGGTAACATGATCTTACTTTTCTTCTTAACATAAAGGGAATAGAAGAATTTCAGGCACATATGGAGACTTCTCAAAATCTGCCACTGAAACTGGACCACAAGGAAATCCACTGTACCATGATGATAGTTGGCAGAGATTGAAGGATGAGTTGTTTCTTCCCAAGTATCTAAAAGCACTTGCAGATGGTGTTTCAAAAAATATAGGTGCTGAATTAATAAGTGAAATTGAAAGCAAAACAGATGCATAGTCTTGTACGTTGGAGGAGCTGCTGCTGCTAATATAGTGGCAATATCTAACATAATAAACATGAAAATATTTCAAAATCCATTTTTATAGAGCAATTTATAACAGTCTTCAACTGTGTTATCAATGTGAATGACATTGGACAGCAGTATCGGGATGCAGTGAAATGCATGCAGCCTTGCACATATCAGAGGCTAAATGTTAAGGTTAATGACTGATGTTAGAAGTATTTTCAGTATCTTAAGGGTGCACCACACTGTCTACCTCTGACAAGTCCTTTGCGCTGAAATCACTCCAGGCCGGAGCTCTGGAGGGTGTCTGGGAGGATCTTCCATGGAGTCAAGTGAGAGAATCATTCCTCAGTGACTTCTTGGTTGCTTCTTGTGCTGCTTATGCTCTTTTGTTTTAGTTTTGTTTTGCCAAAAATGGGTGGAGTTCTTGTGGTGCAGCTATGCAGCTACATTTCAGCATTCTACATGAAAAACCCTCTGGTTAAGTATCTTTTTCTGAAAGGAAGTTTTGGTTTCTGATCTAACACATTTTTAGTATGTTTGCTTAAACAACAAGATACAATGATGCTTGTGTCATTGTCATCATTGAACTTTTCCAAGTGACAGGCAGGTTTTGCAAGAAATAAGTGATAGCTAATAAGGTATTTTAAACGATACAATGGAGTCTTGTGTTGTAGGGCACACATGGACAAGTTTTATGTATCCTGTTAATCTTTCTATGCTACAGGGTACTGTGTATTGTGGAACTTCTTATAATTTCACCAGGCCACAGCATGTGAATGAGAAGGAAAGTAATTTCACATTGGCAGACAAACTTTGGTTAAGGGGCATGTAGGTTTTTGGAAAGGTGTTTTAAAGCCCTCTTATTCCTATGTACGTGCTACACACTCAAAGACCGACTTTTAACCATTGAATGGAATTACTACTATGGAGTGAAACACAATCTTCTGTTTCTGAATGCAGAACAGAATGTTTTATAGACAGATTGCTTTTGTTAAATATGATTTTTTTTAAAGGTGAAAAGGTTTACCTTTTAGCCTTTCAAAAATTGTGTGCAAAATGCAAACTTGTTGTGGAGCTCAGCTCACCTAAGCAAGAATCTTACCATTGTGCTGGGAGTCAGGCTCTGGGTGCCTCTGCCCCCATCTCTCTCCTTTTCCTCAGCTCCCCCAGCTTTATGTGCTTTTGTCAAAGTGCTTCAGCTTCAACAGGAGAAGTGGAAACTCTTCCTGTAAGGAACAGCCCAGGTTGAAATTGGATCTGAATCCTTTCAATCCAGAGGAACTGTACTATAGCTTGTCACTCTGGGGACATAGCTGTGATGTCTCACTGGTTTCTGGATTGAACTAATTTAATATGCTTTTATTTGTATTTATTCATCAATTTGGAATTTGAATCCTGCTGTTGAACTTGTTAAAATAAATTTGAAGGTAGTCTCTAAGTTAATTGTTCCAGTAAGTTGATTTTGAAACATAATTAATAAAAAATAGCTTTCCTAAGGAATATTATAATCATAGAATCATGGAATGGTTTGGGTTGGAAGGGACCTTAAAGACCATCTAGTTCCACCCCCCCTGCCATGGGCAGGGACCCCTTCCACTAGACCAGGTTGCTCAAAGCCTCATCCAGCCTGGCCTTGAACATTTCCAGGGATGGGGCATCCACAGCTTCTCTGGGCAACCTGTTCCAGTGCCTCACCACCCTCTCCATGAAGAATTTCTTCCTGATATCTAATCTAAACCTCCCTGATTTCAATTTATACCCATTACCCCTTGTCCTATCACTACAGGCTCTTGTAAAAAGTCCTCTCCCAGTACCCTTGGGAGTACTGAATACTTCATCACTATCTTAGCTAATGACATGCTGTCTCAGTGATTATGTCTGACAGCTACTAAGGTCTGTTATCCAAGTTAAAAGGGATATACTGTTACATGAAATAAATGCACAACTATATGGTAACTTGACTGAAGGAACAGTTTCTTAAATGAGGAGTAATCTTAATTTTTTTTGTTTGTGTTAGATAAGTCCCAAAAGCGATGTGTGGTCACTGGGCTGCATTTTGTACTGTATGACGTACGGAAGGACTCCATTTCAGCACATAACAAATCCAATTAACAAACTGCATGCTATTGTTGATCCTAGTTATGAGATAGAATTTCCAGAGATTGCTGAGAAGGATCTTCAAGATGTGCTAAAGGTAACTGTCCCTTAATTTTGTGTCAAATAATGGCAACTTCTTTACTTTTTTTTTGTTATTTTTAACTGAATGAGTTGTGCTTGAGAAACCTTTTTTCCCAAATTAATGCTTACTGCTACTTGTAGTATCAGGCCTTATTCCAAAACACTTAATAAAGCTAGAGCTGCTTCATATAGTTTCTGTAGTAAAAGTGTATTTTTCAGCTTGGTAGTGTGGTCTGGCCAAACTCCTTTGGATGAACACCCTGAAGTAAGTACAGTAGTTTTTGTACTCGTCCATCCCTTTCCTTCATTCTGCATATTTGTCTGCTTTTGAAACCTGGCCTGTGCTTTTACTTGACCTTTTCAGTTGTGTTGCTCAGCAGGTAACAAACTGCAGTCCAGAAACATTTGTCCCTCAACTTTTGAAATCTGTGTCATTCAGAATCAAAGGTTATTGCAGATCCTGGTTTTCACCTCTGACATTCTTGCTTCAGTAAGACAGGGGTACCAAACTTTGTCTTCATTAACAATGATCTTTAATCACATTAATCTGTTGCTGTATTTTGAGTTGAGTCTTTGAATATGTAGTTTGGCAGTAAGAAGTTCTGACCCGCATCTACGAGGCCTTCTAAATATCTTCACTGTTGATCTTCCTTTTCTTTTTTCATTTACAGCGCTGTTTAATAAGAAATCCTAAACAAAGGATATCTGTTTCGGAGTTGCTGATGCATCCCTATGTTCAAATTCAAAGTCAAACAGGTACATTTATTTTAAAATATATTCTTATTAAATAGTAGTTATAATTCTCTTTATGAAAACAAAATTCTTTACTCGTACATATACTTTCTCTTGCTGGTGTAACAATATATTTTGTTTGGCGCCCATGTATGTTTCAGAAAAGACTTTATTTGAATTCTTAATGTTCATTTCAAAACTGACTTCTTCCAAAACCCCTTGCAAACTGCACTCGTAATTTTTATACATAGTTGTATATGAACTGTAGCATAATTACAAATTAACTGCAGGTGTTTCAAATGCAAAAGGAACAACAGAAGAAATGAAACGTATCCTTGGCCAGCTTGTTGGCTTGAATTCTCCCAACTCTATTTCTAGAGCTGCTAGGGTAAGTAAATTTTTGTTTGTTTTGTATGGTAGTACGTGTCCGTGCAAGCCAAGTTTAGAATGATTGGTAGTGAAAGCTGGAAGGATACACATATGGAAGCGTTAACCACAGGTAGAAAAACATCACATGTTGTATATCTTCTGTTAGCAAGCATGCAGAATCTCACCATGTTGCTCAGAATGGGAAGGGTGGAAAGAATGATGCTAATCTTAATTTTAGCTGTTTCTTCCCTTTTCCTCCCCCAGGTATATCTATATTGCTTTATTTCCCAATCCCCCACTGCCCCAGCATCTCTTCTCTGAAACAGTCCTTACTGTGCTTTTTGCTTTTATTTTGCTTTTAAGCTGCCCATAAAGTGTAGTAGGTCTTGTAATTTAACAAGCATTATTATGGAAAAACTATCTAAATAGGTCTGTCAAGTGTGCAAGCTTTTGCTCTGAAGCTGCTCTTACTCCCTGGAAGTTGCTGAGCTGTTAATGCATTGCTATGTGTAAATTACTCCCAGTATGTTGAGGTGTTAAACGATTCCAGCCTCTTGGTTCACCTCCTGAAAGAGAAGCTTGGTAACTCTTCACCAGCTTGGAACTTTCCACCTGTCTTTTAGAAGAGTGTGATAGTGGCCAAATGTATAAGAAGTGAGATGGCATGCAAAGTTGCTTTCCTGGGGAGGAAGGCAAATTCAGTATACATAAAATAAATCTAAAAAAGTTTATTTACCCTTATACTGCTAGTCATACCTGTTTTTTGTTGGGTTTTTTTTTTTACTGTGGGGATGAAAAAGAGATTATCCTTTTAATAATATTGTGGTGTGGCTATGTTTGTGGCCACTAATTTTCCTATCTCACAAAGCTTGCTCACCCTGAGTATGCAGATATCTCTGTCCTTCCATGCTGGTGTTTCCACACAGACAATTAATGGAGTAAACTTGATTTAAAATCTTGGTTTGTTCTCTGACAGCTTTGCTCATGCTGCTAAGTCAGCATATGTGTTTTCTTTTAGACTCTAAATTGCATTACAACTCTTTAAGTGTATCTTTATTTTCTGATTTGAGAGAGAAATTCTAGTATGGCATTTGGAATATTTCAGTATATGATGACTTATTTCGAATGGTAGCCTTTGTTTTAAAGAGATGGTTTGAATCCATGTGTGATACAACTGTGTTCAACTGTATCTGTTTTTCATAACTTTCAGACTTTATATGAACAGTGCAACAGTGGTAAAAGTCTGGATGTATCAGCATTTGCCAAACATGGGAGTCAAAAATCATGGACAACAAAATGATGTACTGCTGTACAGGATGCAACAGAGATGTCTGGTCTGTTTAAAAAATATTTTGTGCTGCTAACTTTTTTTTTTTAAAGGACACAGCTTAAAGTTCACGTTTTAAAATGTTCTTTGTGTCTTCTGATAATGCTTGCAGATCATTAAAAAGAATTTAATTGACTGCTTTTCACTGTGGGCTGTTTCACTCTTTGCATGCTACTTGGATTGAACAATGAAAGCTGCTAGTCGGTGATTATGGTCTTTGTTACTTACAAAGCACTACAGTGCCTGGAGTACAAAACTCTGTGAGAGTCTTCAAGCTCTTTTATCTTCCAGAAGCTGAAACACAAGTTCCTAAAATGCCCAATGGTGTACATGAAAAGCATGCAAATCTCTCTTGAAATATCTATTATGACATGATCCCGGTATTATGTTGTTCTGTCCTTCTGTTAACAAATACCTCGCGTCCAGTTTTGATCATAACTAAGGAAATAAGCACTCTGTTTATGTAAGTGATCATCTACAATGCTGGTAGAGAGATGTCACCCAGGTTTTGAGCTGTTCCTGTGGTTAACTGACATAGTGGAAGCATCAGTACTGTTCTGAAGATCTCTGTGAATAAAATGGCTTTTGTTCTATTAAAAATGCTACTGTAAATACAACATGCTTTTCAAAATTAAAAATAATAGAGAAAACCCAGCAAGGCTTGTGATGGTCAGAAATCACTAATTTGGATTTTTAAAAGCGTTAATACTAAGCACTCTTTGAAATGCACTGAATGTAGCAGGGCTGGTTTTTTACATGATTGTTGGTAGATCAGGTTCTGTTTTAACTGACTTACATTCCTGGTGCAAGTGTATGAATTTTCAATTTATTGAAATCATTGAAAGATGTTAAAATAACATCTAATAGTTTTAAATTGGGGGGAAAAAAATAATCTTGCCTTCGGTTTCATGACAGCTGCTGTGCTGTCCCTGGAGACAATCTAAAACATGGAGCTTGTCAGCTCTATCTTGATCAAGCATTTTGAAATTACTCTTGTTTTGCCTTTCCTTCATAATTGTCCTGCTTATAAAGATCCCAGCTTGGCTATTAAAATGTCTCTTTCCTTGTTCATCTGCATGAACTAGGAGTATGATATACTCCTTGGTCATTGGTGGAAAAAGTTGAAGGTCAGCATTAGGGAAGTTTTCCATGATGATTTCTGTGTGTTAGTTTACTGAGTTTGTGATCTCCTAGCTTCAGAGGACTGAAATATTTTGAAGCTTTTGTGATAGCTTTTATATTTTGTGGATACATTTGGATAACTTATTGGGAAAAGATGTTATGTGATGCTTCACAAAGGCTTAAATTGAGGAAAAATGGTCTTTTATTGGAAGCCTGTGTTTGAATTTTCACTTTTTCCTCTTTTTGAGTATTTTTTTTTTTCCCCTTCGGATGCTTGGATTTATAGGACTGAATTAGAAGGCTTTGATCTTGGAGCATCAGGTTTCACTGATGTCTTATTACCAGTTGATTTCTGAACCTTTCATTTCCATGGCTCTTGAAAGATGCAGAGGATCAAAAATCTGAGTGGCGCATGGTGCTACTGGTTATCTGTTAACCTGAACTGGTAACCGTGCTGTGAAATCTCCGTAAAGTCTCTGAAGGAGGGGTAGTCTAGTTTAAACTGCCAGGTTTTACTGCCTGACACGTAATGTTTATACGTCCAGGTACCGGAGTGCGGATCAAGTGGGTGGAAACGCTTCCTGCCTCTGCGGTGGAGGTGCATGTTCGTGGTACTTCTGGGGAGGTGCATGTTCGGGAGAGGTGCATGTTCGTTGTACTTCTGGCTTTCTGCCATCTGGCAGATCGATTAGGTCAGCTGTCTGGGGGGGACAGAACTGGTCATTCTTGCTGCTGGAGGCTTACTTAAGCCAACACATCTTGCTGCCTTGGGAAGATGCGGCTGGAGCCCAGAGAATTCTTGGGAGTTACTTAGAGGATCTCCAAGCACAACTGCCCAGTATTTTATGTTCTGAGAATTGTGGATATTTGTTCTCAAACTCAGTTTGACCCTAATAGAAGGGGAATTCCTGCTACCTTTGCCATGTGTTTTCGCAGGACTGAGATACCTTTATCTTCCCTTTGTCTTGTAAGCTTGTCTTACAGGTATAGTACTGCACGCTCTATTCCCTTAGTGTGGCTATGGGGGATCACTCTTTACTGACAACTTCAGTTAAAGAAAACGTGTTGCCTTTTGAAGATGCAGCTGTTTCTGCAGTGATCCAGATGCAGTGGCAGCTGTACTGCGCGTTGGTCTTCAGTTCGCAACGTAACCTTTTTCCATGCTTGCACACAGCAGTAGTAGTAGCTTTACTGGTATCACTCGTAACCCTATCATGATGTCTTGATCGTGAGTTAATAGCAAAGAAATGAGTTGTTGAAAATACCCGTTGCAATGGCAATATTGGAGGAGAGGCCTTATTTCTGTGTGTTCTTGCTGTTTTTCCTGCCATTGGCTAACCAGTTTTTTGATGACTTTATAACCCTATAAGAACTGAAGAATGAGAGAATAGTCCACACTTGGATCTTGAATGATACATGAAACTCAGAAGTAATGTATTTTTTTCCAAACTTCACTAGTTTTGATTTCTAAATAAGCTTTTTAGAGCTTGCTAATATAATAAAGGCACCCCTTGACAGGTGGGGAACTTTTAATTCTTAATTTTCTTATATTCAAAGCAGCAAAACAATTCTTCAAATAATTCAGTCCCAAAAAATAAGTTCCCTAATGAAGAACAGTATTTCTGTAATTTTATCAGACCTCTGCATAATGTCTGTTTCAAAACTCTCAGCCCTCACCACCTTCATGTGCCAGTTAGGACTATCCTGCTGTGACAGAGCAAGTGCTTGTAAAAGAGCAGTAATTATCCTGGGGTGTGGTGTTCCTGTGTGTGTACAACACCTGCCCTCCTTTATTTCAGGTTAGCAGTGGTTCTCTGGAAGCACACAGGGAGAGTGACTAAGAGTGGGAACTACTGATAGTCCCTAGCCCTTCTCTCAGCCTGGCCTGAGAGGAGGGCTGGAGCAGGGAGGGAGGACGTGTGCTCACCCCAGTGATGAGCACGCACAGGAGCAGCACATCTCCCTTCTTGTGACGGCAAGCTTGGGATGATGAACTTTAACCTTGTGCTTGATCTCACTGTAGTTATCTGAAACTGATTGTCTCAATTAGTCCTCTCTGATGGTGGAGTGGATCCATCCCGTATTTCTAGGGAAAATAAATAGATTTGTTCCCTGTAATAGTCCTGTTTCTGACTTTTTTTTTTAAGACTTTAAGACTCCTGTGAAAGTTTGGTGGTATTTCAAGCATAATGAGTACATATGCAAGTTGTACTCTGCCTGTCTGTTACATAAATGTTCAAGTTATAAAGGTTGAAGTTACTGCAGAAAAAATGTTAATGTTCTTCACCTTTCATATTCCAGGCAGTTTGGGAAACTACTTACGATATGGGAACTGAAACACTACCTCTGGCTTTCTCTGGAGAGGGGGGAAAAAGGTGTCAGCCTCTTCAGAGGAAAACTTGTGAAGAAAATCTTTGCAGAAACACCTTTTCACGAGGAGTTATTATTGAAATGTCTCCCAACTACTTGTCTAGATTACAGAACTTAAGTATGTCTGCACAACTGTTCTATTGTTATAATTGTTAACTTTCACCGCTTTGTTTCCCTGGTTAGTGTTGAATATGTAGAGAAACAGTGCTACGTGCCTTTTTTGTGTTGTAGTGTACGGTTTACCAATCTCTTCTCTCATTCCATGGCTGCTCAAGAACCCGCAGGCATGAGAGGGAGCTTATGAAAGAGAACGGGGGCTGATGAGAGGCAGTGGGTTGTTATCAGTCATCCCTTTTAAATAAAAACTTTCCATTGCAAATGGGCAGTTGATTTATATTCCTTCCCTGCCTCAGTGACATGCTACAAGATATCTGCCTACCTTGGCAGCTGCCACTTACTAACCCTCAATCCACTCCTATTGTTACTGCTTTACAGACAACCGTCACCCTCTTGGGATTCTGCTGGGATCTTGGTGTGAAGTACAGAATAGCTATGCAGGAGTAGCTTTAAAGGGTAGAAAATACCAGTCTTAAAGGTTGGGTAATGGATTGCTGCCTGAAGCTTTCTCAAGGATGACATTACTGTCATCCTCAAGGCCACACAGGGCATTGTGTCTGTATAAAATGGGGAGAAGATGGTTGAGTAAACCAGATCGGAATATGTCTGTAATCATTACTGGTCACATGTATAGTGTAATGCTACATTGGCTAATGCTGAGGTGCCACAGCTACATGAAGAGTAGAAATATAAACCAGAACACATTAGTAAGTTCCACTTAGCAGTTCTTGTTAAAAAAAATGGGTTTGGTAACTTTACCCTTTAAAGCTAAACCTTAACTCAGCTGCTAACATGAAGGAAAGCCTAACTGCAGAAGGGTGCTTTCCTTTCTTACTTATGGATGGGTACAGCATTATTCAGCCTGAACAGCTGTATGTACATTTGGAATTCAAAGACTACAGAGGTAAAGATTTGGAGGCTCTGCTCTTGCAGTCAGTCTTGGTGTGCCAACACCCACAGCTGAGTCCTTGACAAATACACAGAAACTTGGGACACTTGTGCAAGGAGCCTTCTCTTCTCCAGGCTGAACAAGCCCAACTCTCTCACCCTGTCCCCATAGCAGAGGTGCTTCAACCCTCTGAGCATCTTCGTGGCCTCCTCTGCACTCACTCCAACTGGTCTATATCCTTCTGATGCTGAGGGTTCCACAGCGGGATGCAGCACTCCAGGTGGGGTCTCACCAGAGCAGAGTAGAGGGGCAGAATCCCCTCCCTCGCCCTGCTGGCCACACTTCTGATACAGCCCAGGATCCGGTTGGCTTTCTGGGCTGCCAGCGCACACTGCCGGCTCATGTCCAGCTTTTCCTCCACCAGTAACCCCAAGTCCTTCTCCTCGGGGCTGCTCTCTATCCACTCTCCACCGAG